ACAGCTCCACAAGCACTGTAAATAATTTCAGTTTCTCAAAAGCACTGAATACTGATAGCATTGAATAATGTTAGCAATGAACAAAAACTCTGAAACTAGAGTAATTTTAAATTATATTTCCATTAAAATATGATTCAGATGAAGGTCTAAATTACTGCACAATGACTAGAAGATAAACTTGAACTAATTTCTAAAAACCAGAAATCTTCCTAGGAAGGGTATTTTATTTTACACTAAGTTAAACCTCAGCCACACTTTTAAACAAATTCTGCTCCAGTTTTAAAACTCCATGCCCAACTCTCCACACAAACAGATGCTAAAATATGCTGGCAGATGTTACACTACAATTTCACTTGCCTACACTGCAGACTGAAAATACCTCAGTCAAGAAGTTTAACTAAAAACATTTCAAACCAGCCTCCTTTTCTCAACAGCCCTTTCCTGATGTTTTGGTTCCTTTACAGGCTCTACTGAACGTGTGTGGTTTCTCTCTTAGTCCCCAAGCTACCTTTTGAGTCAACAATGCTTACAGAGCTTGGGGCAAGGATATCATTTTTTCTCTCCTTCCCCTGGGAGCATGCCCAAGCACAAGTACCCAAAAGGACCCTCAAAACACCAGGAAAGGATGGAGGAATGGGCCAGATCCTTTCCTCCTGGAGCTGAGCCAGCACTGACATATTTGTCAGCAAACCACAGCATCCCTTTCTGCTCCTGACCTCCACATCCTCTCCTCCTGCTCACAACACCCTGCCTCACACCTGGGAACAAACCAAGAAAACAGCAAGATCCCTGCCCATAACATTTTCTAACCAGAAGTTAATGTCATAAGAATGAAATGAAATGAAATTGGGTCACCTTGCAGGACCGTGAGAAAGGCATTATGAATGAAAAGATCACATCTTCACTGAAAGAAAACAGAGAACCATTTCAGGAGTTTGTTTTTCAAAGAAGGCGCCAATTCTATCATACTCTCCTCACTCCCAAATAAATCCATTAGCAAGTATACAGAGTGAGTTTTACTAAGGTTTCAACATTTTACTACCCATTTGTGAGTATTAGTCATAATTTCAAGCCTAAAGTGTGTGAACAAAATACACATTTATGAAAATATGAACAATAAGTATGAAAAACGTAAAATCATTAGCACATTAGTACAGAAGCAGCACCTCCTCAATATTGCTCCAATTTCCAACAATACTTAATCTTCCAGTTTCAAAGGCTGCATGATGAATTCTGGACTATCTCTTGTATCCATCAACAGATATAACTTTTATACAACCTCATCTGGACACAAATCTACTAGTTCTACACAAATTCTTATTTTTCAACTGCAAAGAAAATGCTTTTTCTCAAACTAATGCCAAATGCAATTTGCATTCTTCACTGGATGGCAGTAAACAGAAATGGTTACTTTTAAAATGAGATCTGGATTTCATTTTTTATAGTCTGGTTTATGTTATTCTAGCTTGTCTTTGAAGCAAGTATGAATGCAATTTATGTCTTCTACAAGGATTCCTTTCACCTTGCCAGGACTTCACTGGAAACTCAGTCCACCTATTGTTCAACAATTAGAGATTTCAGAAAAAGGAGTTCTACAGCCTCTGTTAATAACAGAATGAAAATCATTATCAGCAATCTGCAGCATCCTGTAAAGAGTATAGATAATTTTATAAGAATTTGAGATGACACTCATCAATTTGTTTTTTGGACACTCTAAGGAGCTCTTTCTCTAGATTTACATGGAAACATGGAAACAATTTGACATAAATCTTTGCATCTTCCACCAAAGAAATAAAATCCTGGTGGATTGCAAAAGACGTTTATTTTTTTGGAAAAAAAAGTATCTCCCAGTGAATGTACATATTTTTTTTAATAATTTTGAAGAAATACATATTAAATGGTTACAGTAAATAGCAATGGATGTACTAACTAAATTAGGTTGCTTTTTTTAAAGTCTTTTTTAGGCTCAGACGATAGGGTAATGCAGCACTAATCTGTTTCTAGGAAATGCAAATGTTAAAAAATAACACTTGCACAGTATCTGCTTTATATGACATTTTTGGCTATTGATTTTCAATGCAGTCTTACCCACTCTACCTGTACTGTATCTTTCTCTGGGGCATCATTTGCTTTTATACATCTCTGTAAGCTGTTTCTCACAGAAACTTCTCTTTTATTTGTTCAACACAGAACTGAAAATAGCCCATCTTTATTACTCAGTTGCAGATCATTTTGTATTGGCACTCACCAAATGCAAACATTAATTTTAAGATCTTGGGGTTTTTTTATGGGGCCATTTAAAGTTTCTAGCTCCATCTATATTACTTTGGCACCAAGTTTCTGACTGAGCTGACATTTAGATAAGAGAGGATGGATTCCAGACCCTCCTGGGCTTATAAAGCAAAGCACTGTAACTTTGAACCTGTGCAGTATCTCTCCCAAGTTACAAGCAAAGAACTGAATAAATTCTGGTGACATTCTGTTTGTAACAATACTGTTAAATTGCAAAGAATGGGATTATGACCAGAGTTATAATCTCAGCATTTTTAAATTTTATATATATTTCTTTAAAATTAAATCCTTTTACTGTAGCATATATTCTTTCAGAGTACTGGGGGATTTCTAAAATATTTTCTTAGGTAATAAAATCTCCTGCCTTTCCATCTATTTATATGAAATACTCCAGAGTATTTCAAGTACTGATGAGAATGTAACTGTAAGAATGACTGGATACTTTAGTATCAAAAATGCTTTTGCTTTCTTATTTGTATTCACATTTCCTATCTCTTTTTCATGGGCTATACACCCCCATCTTCAAAGGCTTTCCATTTACAATCCTTGTTATATAAAAGTCACATCAAAAAATGCATTTATGCTGACAATTATTTACAAAGTCCCAAGGAATGCTCAACAATGTAAATCACATATGGTGATTTATACATATGGAGGTCAGTGGTCAGGTTCCTAACATACTCCTATCAATAATTTTTATTCAAATACAGTGAGGTAGTACTCTGATATGATACAAAGCAAGGTCTGCACTCTGTAAAGGGGGACTCTAAACATGTGTCTAGGTGGTAACCAAGAACTTGATTCAGTCATTGAGAACATAAGCCTTTAGCAACTTTTGAAATTCTCTGGAATTCTTAAGACTAAAGGAAAAAAAAAAATCCAAGCCTTAATGTTTTGCCGGGAAATTGGTCAAAAGCTGAGATCAGTGTCAGGAGCCTGAAAGAAGCTACTGAAAGAATTTACCTATGAAAGACTATTGTAACACAAACTATATCAACATACTTCTATCAGTATCACTAACCTTCCGTCTGGACTTGGCTTATGTAACAACAACCTTTCAGTTTATAGGAATAACCTACACTGATTATGGGAAACTGTCTACATCATAAGCAACCTCAAACTGATAAACATAATGAAAGCAAAAGACAAAGATGGAAAAGAAATACTATACTACTGACTTCTACTACCAATGGATGCAGTCAGGGAAAATTACACAAATCTAAATGTCAGCTTAAAGCATTGCCACAAAATATGATGTGTTTTGTGTTGCCACAAAACACAAAAGAGATGTGTTGTCTTAGAATAGTTGAGACTGGAAGGGACCTCTGTAAGTCCCTAGTTCAAACACCCTTCCTCAAAAGCTGTGTCAGCAGAGCAGATTGCTCAGGGCCTTCTCCATCTGGGTTTTGAGCATGTCCAAAAATGGAGACTGTACAAATCTCTGTGCGATACATTCCGGTCTTTGACAAAATTCAGTCAAGTAAGTGAGATTTCTTTTATGCTTGAGTGGAATCTGGAATAAAATTTCAGAGTATGATCACCATTCCTCCTTAAAAACGAGCAGAAAAGCAACTTTCCATATTTTGAATGGAAAAGCTCATGCTCAGAAAGTTAAAACAGCCAGTTAGTCAGATGGGATAGAAGAAAAATCTGCTATCTTTGCTACATATTCCTGGAGCTTTAGGTGATGCTAGGAGACCACAACATCAGATAAAGACAGACACACAGGTTAGAATACATAAAACACAGACATGTCAGGAAACAGTGCCAGGAACTACAAAGGCAATGCATACAAGCCTTTGGAATTCTCAGTATGAATACCAGAAACTTTCAAGGTACAAACACAGAGAGTTAAACTAAGGAGCTAAAAGCTATTTCCAAAGACATAAAAAGCTCACTGCACTGTCACCTAAAAACAAAGTAGGATTATAAGACTGTTGCTAAGTTCTGCCACAGTCTTTTCCGACAATGCTTATTTTATCTCTTCACTGTTCCTAAATTTGATTAATGTCTTCAGCCAGAAGAAAGGCTTTCTTTAAAAGCACACAGTGTACTACAACTTACTCCTTGCTGCTGAGTGTTGCCATCAACAGACAAAGACAAACTGAAATAACAGATTTTAAACATACTTCTTAGCTCGAGAGAAAATTCATCTAGACAACAACTCTGTCAATTCTTTTTTTTTTTACATAACACTCTCTTTGCCCCATATCTACTTGTCCTTAGTAACAATGAACTCTCGCAGATTTTTGATATTTTATTAAATGTAGTAAAAATTTGCATATCTTATGATGTTTTATAATCGCCTCCTCTGATTGCTACAGAACTCTCTTTTTATTTCAATCCATCCACAGAAAACTGTTCTACATACAGAAAAAAGAATGAAGCAATAACCAAAGGAGTACAGATATCATCAAGAGAGTAGACTAGAACCCTTGAATTCTGTCACTTTCGGGTGAAGGATGGAAGAGAATGAAAAGGAAACTCATCAGCTGATGCTACCTGTAACCACCTCATCTAAGAATGCAAAAGCAAACATTGTCAAGCAAATGTAATCAGGTATAAGACACTCCTCAGTTGGCAAAAAAAAGAAAGGCAAGGGGGAAAAAAGTGTATGATTAAAAAGAGGAAAAGAGAGAGAAAAATACAGATTTTTTTTTTTTCCCCCAAATCATGGCCATGTGCATAATATACAGAAAAGTCCTTACCTTTTTCACTGACACTTTCACTTTCTATCTCCACATCTTCACAGCTAGTATATTCTGGTGTTGATGCCCCTTCTTCCTCTGAGCTACTAACTGACATCTGCCTTTTCTTTCCGCCTCTTTTTGCTCTATGAGGCTTTGGAGGGGATGGCCGCACTGATTCCGACTGGTCAGAGCTAAGGGAATCATTCCTTAGCATGGTCTCCATTTTCTCCCGCTTTGCTTTTCGCATGAGAATAGCAGAGCTAGGATCAAGGCGGCTCTGTTTTATAAAGGAATCGTGGTTCTTGTATTCTATGTGTTCTATAGGAACTGGACTATGCCTGGGAGTTGGTGGGCTATGATTAGTTAATTGTTTAGAAACAGAAATTCTTACATCACCTGTTCTGTCTATAGAGTACGACCTCTGAGTTTCCACAAGAGATTTTCTGTCCTGAGTTCCCTGTAATTGTGAGCGTTTTCCTAATTTATTCTCAGGTACCTCCGCTTCCTCCATTTCTGTGTGTGGCAAAGCTACATCACTGTGTCTTCTCTCGTGTCGTGCTTTAGAAACTTTCGCGTGCATGCGCATCTGCTGCTCCTCAGGGTGTGGTTTTACAGGGTATCTTGCCAGATTGGGGTCACTCCTGTAACGGGTATGATATTCATCTTCCTTCCTTTGTTTTTCATCATCAGGCACTTTGCCTTCCTCAAGTTTCTCTGGCAAGTCTGGGTAATCCTGTGACTTGCCTTTCTCCAGCCTTCTACCTTCATGCCGCTCTTTACGCTCCCTGTCATCTGTTGGTCCTTCTTTTTGAAGTGAGGATTTTGGCACACGCTTACGCTCACTCTTTGCAACTTTGCCATTCTGGTCAGAAACCAATACTGCCTTCTTCCTACAAAGAAAAGGAGTACAATAATATGAGGAATTGAATGGAAAATAGAAATACTTGCATACAGCTATGGAAAACAAATTCAAAACCAGGATAAGCTATGGCAAAACAGAAAATACTGAATCCATTAACATGAATTTAATCTATTAATCCTTCCATCCTCATTTTATTTTCCAAAAGCAAACAACCTCCAGAGTCCACAGAAACATAAATTATGAATGGTCCACTTAATGAGTAAAATTTAAAAAAAAAATATTTACATGGATCGAGATAATTTAGCCATGTAAGAAGACCCAGAGCTGTCTTTGTACTAACTGCAGCATTATGATAGAGTACTGGAGTATGTTCTCCATTTTTCTAGCAGCACTCATGAGAGTTAGAGACTTACCACAAAATTCACTTCAAGTGCCCTGACAGCACAGATATAAATACCACCAAATCGAGTATCTACCACAGTAATATTACAGAAAGAATATAGATATTTTAAAAATGCAGAAGATAACATATCCATAAATAATATTTAAACTAACTAGTTTTATTTATCTTATTGAAACTCTAAAAAGAAGGACCCATTTCATAAGCATGTAAAAAAAATGAAAAATTAAGAAATGAAAAAATGAAAGCAAATTGATTCCTGGAGATAAACTAATGGCATTCCTTTCTCCAGTAATAAAAGAGGATTAGAAGTTTATTTCTCTATGCAGATGTAAGTAGAAAATAATAAATAATGAAGCTGACTAAAAATTACTTTTTTTTTCTCTTTCATATTCTGCTTTGGGAAAATATGCAAGACAAATAATCATAAAATTCCCTCTTGCTGGATATTTTTTATTTCTCTCATCATGCCATGATGTTACCCTTTCAGTTACCCTTTAATTTAGCAGTTCAGATATGAATCCATTGATTTTGAAGAAGGATGAACACAGCTATACAGTGTATTTGAGAAGAATGCACACTGGGACAAAGTCACTAGGACCTCGTTTTGTGGCACTGAATCTTCCTTTCCACAACTGACACATCTTTGGTAACATATCAAAGACCCTCACAAAGCTGGACATCATCCACATTAAGCTCTATTTTCTTTATTTTTTTTCCCATCTCCTGTTTCTCCTGAGATTTTGGCAATTAATGGGACCTGTGCTTACTGTAGATGGCCCTCAGCCAGAATGTATTTGAAACTCTCAGTGAGAAGTATAGAACACTAATTTTGTAGAACTAATATGAACATCTCACTTTTGGGCGGCAAAGCATAAATATAAAGTGTTTTGCTGCCCCAGAAGTTGCAGCTGCTCTGGGGACATTCCCTGGATTGAGGGACAAAAGTTGACAGAACTAAGGGAAGGCATCCTGTTCATTTACACAATACAAATACATAACACTAACCTGAATTTCATACAGTTAAACCCAGACAGATCTCACCCACACAGTAAGTTACTAGCCACTGCTCATCATCCATTTACAGCTCCAATAGCATGGGGAAAAAAAAGTCATCAACCATTCTGGCCAGAATCTGGAGAATCTTCCATGGCAGACTCCTGTTTTGTTGTCACAGGCTCCCTCCTCAACTGCTCTGCCCTCTGCCAGGCAGCAGCCAAAAGAACAGCAGCTGTTTCATCGCATTAGCTTCTCTTGATTTGCTTCTCCTCAACCCATTCATCATATGGAATGCAGTTCAGGAATTACCTCATTTACTCACTTAAAATAGTTTGCTTCAGGTTGCTTTGTTCTTGCAAACAACTTGCTCTGAATTCAAGATGGTACTATTGCTGTTCTACATGAATGTTAACTTCACACATGTAAATGAGGTCTTTCAACTGTATTATTTTTAACAATAAAATAATTGATGAAGAGATAGAATATAAGGTTATGTGAAGCAATTCCACAGGGTGTGTTTTCTGATTGCTTGGGTGTAGATTTTTCAGGAGAGTGTCGCTTAAAGAATTCAAGAAAGCTAAAGGCTTGCTCTTTGTTTAATAACTTTGAAATACCTGTTAAATTTAAAATTTAAATTAATCTACAATTCTATATTAAAAGCGCACACCAAAATGCATTGAAGTATATGGGAGTATCCATAAAATACATTTTTTTCCTCCTTTTTGTTGCACAGATCAAAATAGACAATGTATTTGCTAACAAAAAATTTATCCTTCCCTGGTCATTAAATCACTTTACTCTTTGTTTTTGCAGAGCAGTAAACATACAGAAGGCTCAGCTGAAATAGCATTTATAATTGTAGGCTCTGTCTAGACAGAAAGCATTACCTCTCTTTTGGAGGTTCACTTCTAGACCTTGAAGCTTGCTTTTGGTCCGGGCCCATAGCCGGCTGCGACACTTCTGCTCCTTTCCTACGGTCAGGCTGCACACTGGAAGAAGATATTTCCTGTGATGAGGCAGCTGCTGTACTTAAGGGAGTCTGAGACCTCGATCGCTCTTGAAGTCTTGCTTTCTTTTCTCTCGGTGTATCTGAGCTGGCGCCAGTGGCCGTATCACTCAGCGTTCCGTCCTGACTGGGTGAGGGCTGTGGTCCACTTCCAAAAAACCACGCTCCAGATTTCGTTAGGATTTCTTGTTGCTTTCGACATAAATTGCATACCCACATAACCTAGTTGAAGACAACAAGAAGAGTCAGTGCAGCTACCTCCCAGAGCCTGGAATGCATGCTCACTACTGCAGAGCAGGTACGACCCCTGGCTCTCGGAGCCACTGAGGCTGGTGCTCATGACAGGACCCAGAACATGCTTCTCCACCAGCGAGAGCCAAGCATCCTACAGGCACATGCTATGCGAGCTTCTCCAAAATGTCTTGTCAATACACGTCAGTCCCACCTGTGGCAATCCCCCCTCAGCCTGGCCCTAGCTCTGCTCTGAACAGACACCCACAACACGACCAGTGCTGGCTGGGGGGCTTGATGCAGCGGGGAATGGCTTGGGCTTTTTCCACTGGTGTGGATCGCTGTCAGGACAGACAAGCCCACCAGACTGTAAACGGGACTTGTACCTCAGGGGGCAGCATCCTACCGGCTAACTCCCAACTTCTGTGCTCACAGAAAATTGATACAGTATTTTCTTGTGATTAAATTTTCTCCCCTTAAATAACTCCACATTATCCTGCAAATAAATTTATTATGTACCATGAATGATTTTAGCTACACCTACTGCAGCTGCTTAGAGGTGTAGAGTAAAACTTTAAGAAATCTACTAATAGTAAACTAAATACACCAATTAAAAAAATGAAAAAGTACCATATTTTGTACTACTTGCAAATTATCATTATTATCTCTTTGCTTTATAGCTATAAATAATAAATTAACAAACATGTGTCCCTGTAAATGACAATTAAGGTGTGTGTGCATAGATTGTGTGGTGCTTAGGATTTCTTTTTTTGAATTGGGGGTTTAATTCCTTACACACAGATATACAGGAGCACACACATTAAAGCAAGACTCTATGTTTCCAGTCTGTATACTGTAGAGACAGTCTTATGTACAGGAGCAACTCACCAGAGAAAAATAAATGGTTAATCAAGACTAAAGTATGTGAAAATCTAAGAAAAATTTGAGACAAGGAACAAAAGCAGTTTTCAGAAAGAAGAAAAAAATAGGAAAAATGCATGAATGGAAGGGTATAGAAGAGAGAGGATTTTTGTCAGAAATAAAAACAGAGATGAGAGGAAAGAAAGCTGATTATTATAAAGGAAAATGGTAAAGAAAATCTCTTAATTTAATATGGAAAGCATATAGGAATGGGTAAAATTGCAATGTAGGTAAGAAGGATGGCAAAAGTTAGAAGGAAAAATATCCTTGAATTATTTTGTGTAAACACAGCAATGATGCAACAGTCACAAAATTATACAGCGCTTAAAATTAAAAAGAAGAGGAAAAAAACACTTAATGGAAGAAATTGAAACAGGACAAAGTTCTTTTACTGAGCTCTTTTAGTCTCTAGGCCTGTGGAGGTAGTGCGTGGTTTACAAGGCACGACGAAAACTTTAGGCATTTTACATATTTAAAATAATTAACATTTATTTAAAACACTCTAGAATAGACTATCTTTTCAGGTCTGAAAACTACATCAGAACTTCCAAGTGCATTTCTGCACTGTTTGACCAAACTACACAGAGAAGATATCCAACTCTTTAGCCTCTGTCAGGATTGTACCTTTATCAAAAGATGACTGTTATATTTCTTCTATTTAAGAAGGATAATAAAGTATCTATTATAATACATTAATTAAAAAATACCCAATCTTAATCAAAAGCTACAGTTATTCCAACAGAGGCATAAACATCTATCATGATGAAAACAAATAACACTCAGTAGGATACTAGAAACAGCAACTTTGACAAAGATAAATGCTAGACCTTTAAGAACCTAAAAAAAGTCCTTGATTCCAAAACATCTAATTTATTCCATCTAGTATACCTTGAAAACCAGCAATTCAGTTTATTAGACTATCTGTTCTAACTAGAACAGACCTTTAGTCTAATTTAACGTATCAGATTATTAAAGGTATTCAAAGAAACCAGCAAGACTGAAAGGAAAAAAAGCCACATTTTAAAATGTTTTTCTAGGATCTTCCACAGCTGTTGGCTCATTAGACAGCAAGAGTGTGCATGCAAATGTGTCTCTGTATAAAAATCTATGTCAATGTTATAAACCAAAGTCAGTAACAAAAAATGTCATTACCTGTATTTTATCAGTTTCCAAGAGAGGTTGAAAAATGTGCGAATAAAAAAATTAATCACCTAAAGTTTGTTTAAAGGATAAGGAATACTAAAATAAAAGTAAATTATCCTAATTAAATTGCATACATGTGTATGTAAGCCCAGTAACATACTTACTTTAAAACTTAATGTATTCAATAATTTTAAATATGTACAAATTATGTAATAAAATTCAAGAAAATACTGTTAATTTACATAATCACCTTTGATACTGTAATTAATTTTATGCAAAATATTATGAGATACAAACACATAAGAATAGCTAATGCACAAAGAGACTCAGAAAAATACAGAATACTGAAAGAAGAAATACTAGACAAGTAAATACAAACCCATTTTCTTACAGCTATTTTTAAACTCTGCATCTTGGACACAATACGTACCAATCACCACAGATTACACACGCAGGAAATCTGTATCATACTCACATAGAAGCTATACTACCATCCCTGTTTAGGAATCTCTTCAGGAATTAAAAAATGCTACAGTTGCTTTGAGATCTATTCGGTCCAAAAGGAAAAATAATAAAAGTTCTTCTTTAAGAGGAAAAAAAAAAAATCAAAAAATTCAGGTGACAGAAGAGTTTCAGTGACAAAACTGTATATTGAAAAACATTTTTAGAGAAGTATGTGGAGCAAGCAATTTAGCAGCATGCAGGAATTATATCCTGATTGAATATACTGGGATGTGGTCCAAACTAATCTAAACTAAAGCAGGTCTGTGTAATAACTTATCTTAACAATCCACAGATGTTAGGCAACCAAACAAATGCTCTGATGAAGGATTACAGTTCTCTAATGTGGCTTCTGGACCTCCACGCGATGCATCAGTAAAATGAAGAATGTTAGACAATTGTACTCTGGCCTGTCACTTCAAAAATAGTTTCTGTTTACTCTCCTCTGGACAGTGAGCTCTGTTGAAGTGCTACATTAAGTCATTCAAGACATCCAGAGTCTGGTTTTTGTTTCTGGGTTTGTTTCTGGTTTATTGCATCCTTGCATATGTCAATGCAATTTCACACGTGAAGCTATTAAAGAGAACCAGTGAAAGGGTGCTCTTCATTCAAAGGGTTCATATGCATGGCTCTGGAAAAAGGTGCACTTTCACAGCATAGCAAAGGGTTCTGGGCTTTACTGCTACATAACAAAAAAGACCAGTGGCACACACAGGACTCAGCACAGGTGGGTCAACAGTTCCCACACAGATTCATGTGGAAACTTTACAGGCTGCGTGAAAACATGCTAGAAGGATCCCATGCTTGCCTTCATGTGGAATACAGAGTATTTCATTCATAGAAAAAATATTCCTCAAACTTACTCTTACAGGTACTTCTGAATGTGATCCACAATGAGGAGGAACAGTATTCCTGTACTAACACAACATGAAATTCCAACTTGAAAGAGCCCATAGTAATATATATATATATATATATATATAACTATACACACAGAAAAAGCATTTTCAGTTACAAAAGTAAGAACAAGTCTACATAATTACACTTCTCAAACCTGCATTTTAGAATGCAGAAAAAAGGCCTTTTTTTCAAATTCAAATTTGGCAACTTCCAAACATGCACTGGGAAGCCAAAGTCACATTTTGGGGGGCACAAAAATTATACCAAATGTATGTGACACATGCCAGGCGAAACTCAGACTGAGGTCAGAGCAAGTTCCCCAAATCCTTCACCCAAGCCCGGATTCTGAGGAGGGTCCATAAGGAGCACACTCCTTTATGCTTCCTGAGTTTAGAAATTGAAATCCCACAGTTAGGATGACTCCCATGCATCCTGCCTCATCCCTATGCAGCAAAAAAGGTAACAAGTATGCTAATGAAGCAGGCCACAAGCTATTCCTTATTGAACCTTCACACTATCTTAATTATTTCCCTTCTGAAGGGTGTACACACATTTTTTTCAGGTTATTGATTTGATTTACATTTCTTCTATGCACATTTGGAAGACACTAGTTATTTCAGACATCTAATAAGGCAAACCCTCTTCACTGCCTGAGGCACCATTAACTTCAGCAGAGCTCTGCCACCACCTTACAAGTCATCTCTCGAAAGTCAAAAAGAAACAACAATTAGCTCCTACAAAATTTTCATTCACAAAATTGTTAGATTGTGCATCACTTAAAGTTTCTGAGGTAACCTAAAACCATGCAGCAAACCGTGAAATTATTATACAGCATTGCATTTATCTCTTCTGCTATATCAAAATGATTTCTGTAATAAAATCCTGGCTAAAATGTCGCAATTGCTTCACTCCATTAAAATATAAATAAATAAAGCTGAAAATCTACTTGAATACTTACATTAGCCCAAAATCTCAATAAATAAACAACTCTGCCTTTCTAATGAAAGTGTGCTCAAGAGTCCAAGTTTCCATTAAACATATTTTTCAAAATGTACAGACAGTTGGGTGCATCAAATAGCTCCTGCTCAGCAAAAGGGAGGGTCTTCACCCCTCTTCCCTCCTCTCTTGTTCTCCTTCCCATCTGCGTTTGTTCTCTCCCTTTCTTGCTCACAGGATGGTTCCCTGTGCCACATACACACTTGTATACTGCTCCTTGACGGTCAAGTTCTCCCAGGGGCCACTTGTATTTAAAAACATTGCAGAAACTTACGTGTATTTTCTTAAACTGGTTTCATTCTCTGTCACATCTATTTTTTTCAAAGAGGGAACGATGAGTAGTGAAATCATGTGACCAGAAACACAGGCAAATGGTGATAGTGGTATGTTTTGCCTACAGCCCTGTCTCAGCATCTACCATGAAACTACATCTTGAAAAGTCACCAATACTGGCACACTAGACTTGCACAGAAACATTTTTGAGCACTGAAGTCAAATGACACAACATAATCAGTATCTGTGCTAGGATC